ATTTAAAATTTATATTGCTCTCAATTGTATGTTAATATTTGATGATTGGATCCCAAACCTTGAATTATTATGCATTCTTGTTTTAAGTCGTTGCAAATAGTTACTGCACGCTGTATTCAGTTACATTTAGCAATGTTAGTATAAAATATGTTTATCTTTTCATCTTCATCTTTGTTTGGTCTGCTAATGTTGTTATTTTTTGTTGATTACTTGTGTCATCTAATTGATTATTTTCGATCAGAAGTATTATGTAAAATCTTCAGTGTTTTTTCTTGAAATTCTTCGATATATGCGTGCTTGTGATCATGCAGTACCTGTGTGGCAGATGTGTGTATTTGCAAAACACCTTACATGGAAAACATTTCTGGCCTTGAAATTACCCAAATGAGATTAGAAATGTCCACAGTATCACTTATAGCCTTGATTATAGGTTTATAAAACACTCACGCTCCTTCTTATGGTGATAAGTGGATAAAACTCCCAACTAAAAAGATATCAAAGTTTTAAATTTTTTTGAGATATTTTGTATTTTTCGCCTTGAATTTGTTGTGCTATCACAAGTAGCGATGTCCAAACTCAATTGAACGCTCTTTAATTGGAAAATAATATACTTGAGAGAGCATGCACTGCTCGATAGGTTTTGGTCATTACTGCGAAATAGATTTTTAGCTTCTTTTCCTCCTAATGAACTGATCGTGAAGTAATTCTAATCCTTCGTAATGATGCAACTTAACTGCTAACAGGAATCGCAGAAGTTGGCACTTGCTGAATCGACAGGACTGGATCAGAAGCAAATAAATAATTGGTTCATCAACCAAAGGAAGAGGCATTGGAAACCTTCTGAAGACATGCAGTTTGTTGTAATGGATGCTGCTACTGCTACTGCAGCTGCTGCTGCACATTCCCATTATTACATGGACAATGTTTTGGGAAATCCATTTTCAATGGATATTTCATCATCCCTTCTCTAAGAATTTCGTGTTCTTAAATTGAAAGCACTCAAAGATCAAGAAGATATATGAACTTGCAAACTCTGCTGGAAGTCCGAAATCTGAGGACTGTAATATTTCCTGATTATGAATTTAAATTATTAATTTCTTTTTCGATCTTGTTTCATATTCAGTTGAGTTAGCAAATGATTAATCAACGACCAGTTGATTGAATTTCGAATACACGTATAAACTGTTGTTGTGGCCCAAATGGGAAGGGAAGGCCGAGGTGGTTTAAGCTTGTTTCGCTAAGTCTAAAAGAAGTGAAGTTATTTAAAGAAACACGTATCGAAGAAAATCTAGATAATTTATTTTTTCACTTTTTATTGAGAAAGTTACTTCACTAAAAGTATCTTTTATATTAATTTTAACTTTCATCAATAAAATTTATTTATTTTATAAACTTTTTGACTTATAAGTAGATGTAGTTGAAGTGAAAATTATTAATTCAAGTTTAGCAAACCATGCTTAGACTTGCATCAGAAACGGTGGAGACATTTCGCAAAACTTCAAAAATATTTATGCTAAAGGTTGGCTTTGAATCCCTTGATAGAGTTCTTAATGTTAATTTTGTTTCTGTGCAACATTGATTTTAATATATCTTGTTGCATTAGCTAATGAATATTGACGTTTAACGTTGAGTTACAATAAAATTGAATTGCGTAAAATTATTTGTAATATTATATACTTTGTCATTCAGATACTCAAATGCTACTTGTTTTTTATATTCGTTAAAGAACTTTGATAACTGTTCTCAAGTCGAAGAACCAAAATCTTGCTAGCTTTCCGCATGCATAGAGCATGTGACGGTATCAAAAGAGCTTGCTCCAAGAGAATTCAACGACGCCAGAGAATAAAATAAAAATTCCATTTGTTACATTTTTGGGAGTGATTAAAATCCAATTAAATAATCATTATTAGGTCTCACTCGTCTAACAAAAAATTCGATTTTAATGTCTACAGAACTTATCCAGTAACATTTCAATACCTTAAGTGTTTTTCAAGATAAATCCGGGCTAGGCCTAACCGAACTGGCCCATCTCTAAATTTACCGCCAAGTCCAACCATACTCTTATCTTCAACAGTTCAACTTCATTCCTCCTCTATCCTATACCACTCCCTCGCTCACTCTTCCTTCACCACCACCTGTTGGATAAAATAATGGTAAAGTGCAGAAAAAACTTATCAATAGATCGAGTCTCGTGACAGCACGATGTCCTAAAGCCAAATTGCCCGTCGATAACTGCTGCGACCTCTGTGGACAATCACCTCCAGGATACAACGATCAAAAAAACCAATTGTGCAGCAATCACAAAAGGTTTTC